TTTTACAGTGTACGAAAACAATATTTGATCGATTACGTTGTACGTCTAGCCTGTGATTACAGAATTACGGAATTTATTTTTCAATTTACGTAGTACGAACAAAAAAATAATGCAATTACGTTGAACGAAAATAACCCTTGCCCCCCCGCATTACAATTTGTCCACGTAGTGTGAATTCATGTGCCAGCAGGTGTGAACTGACTTCTCGCCAACACTTAAATGGGGAGGAGGGAAATGGAATAAAGGGGGACGTTGGGACATCATACCAGGTGCAGGCCTTGACGGTTGGTCACGATAACCTAGCAAGGGGTGTCTCACGTGTTTTAATATTAAAGAACATCGAAGCTCAACTCCAGAAACTGACTGTGTCTGACTACATGCGTGTGTGAATGACTTCAGTGTTCCGTTATAAGGTCTTATGGAATCCCTACACTGCAGAAGCGAGTAATCCCCGAAATTCCCCTTTGAGCCACATTACACAACCTTTTCGAGCCGCGTAGTAAGTTTACTATCCCATAATATGCTGTTTGTATTGTTTAATTGAGGTGTGTATCGCACGTTATTGTATTTTATAATTAAATAATAACACACATTTGTTGCCTAAAGGATGGTGGTGATGACCATAATTATATTGATGATTCCAGAGCATCACATCGAACATACATCCGCTTTCCCACAAAATAACTACACTTATTATACATCTGTCACCGTAACGCCATAAGTTACAGTGTGCCGTAATTTAGCGGTATTTTACGGGGTATTTTCGTCCTACCATATTAGGAAATGCGAATTCCAAAAATGATTACGCGCGTTAGCGTCCCCTAATAATAATAATAAAAAACATGGCTGCTGCTAGGGTTTGATCGGATTCCACACAAAGAGGTTCGCTGTTTCTTTACTAAAGTTTTTGGATTTCGACATTCCAATTGTGTATCCTTGGAAGGAAAAAAGTGTATAATATTAAAGTTATTACGAAGGTACCTCAAAGTATGCATCCATATTTGAAAATAAAATATTTTATTTTACGAATTATAACAAGTGACTCATTAATCAATATCATACATACTTTGTGGTGTTAGCTAACGTGCGTTATATACAGCGATTTTACAGTAATTTTTGCAGCGGCAGGCGACGTGTGATATTGATTTATCCTAGGAAACATGAACATTATTTTAGTTTGAAATGGAATGGTCAACTTAGAGTTGGACGACGTGAAAAAAATCATACGAGTATTACAAGGTGTATTCATATTGTGAAGCATCGGCGAAATAACGAGTCAGTGTTTAATCGTGATTAACGTTGAATTAGTGCCAAAACAAGTGCTGTAGGTAGGTGGCTGCCTCGGAACAATTATTTGCAATTGAGACGTCGTGTACCGTGGTGTTGCGACGAATTGATAATTCGTACTTTTTATGTGAATATAACGGTGATATATACGACCTTATATTGCCTGTTGTAAATTCACTTTGTAATCGTTTCACATTATATTTTAACTCGTATGCAAACGAGTACATAGTTCTTTATATTTTGTATATTCCATATTATCAATGTGAATATTAAATCATTATTAAAAGTATTTATTTTGGTATATCATCTAT